ACTACAGAGGTGTTCCACAAAGATTGTGGGGAGTTTCGATCCGATCACGCCCGCTCAGCTAGCCCCTGATGCCGAGCCCGAAACCACTTGCTTACCCTCGGGTGTAACGGAGAACTACCACTACACTATGTTGCGTGGCTGCCAAATACAGCTCCACAGAGTGGGGATGAGTGCCGAAAGTGTTTGTGAGGGTATTTTGTGTGATGGGCAATACAAGGTTTGTGGTTGCGTCTCGGGGGCCAAGAGTACGAAATGGACACTAACAATCGTCATATCCGCTGATAAGCTCAAGCAATACGACGAGTTCACTATAACCAGTAACTATGTCACTGAGCTTTTCGTCACAGCAGCTGCTCGGAGCGTAAAAGGCTGCCCCAAATTGATTCTCATATCTTTTTTATCAGATCAAGGAGACTCAGTTGGATATGTTCGCTCTGGAGGATCGGGCTGATGAAGTGGTGGCTACTATAAATCGTAATGGTGGCTTTACCATCTGCTTATGGAGTAAGGCGGCCACTACCGATAACGAGATGCATAAGCCACTTCGCCACCACCTCTTCATGTTGTCTCCAACCTCGTTCGAGGGAGATTTGGAAAACCTTAAGTGAGTTGAATCATATGGTTCGTGACCTCACGTGACAAGTGATGTGAATTGTGCGTCACGCACAATAATTTTCACGTTTTTCACGTTTTAGATACAACGGTGAGCCTGTTCGCCAACTGGGCAATGGCAACAATGATAGGCAAGCTGGTAATGGTGGCAACAATGATAGCCAAGCTGGTAATGGTGGCAACAATGAGATTACTAACGGCGGGAACAACCAGGCTACTAATGCCCGCAACAATCAGGCTGCTAGTGACGGCAATCAGCCTGGTCGTAGCGCCAAAAACAATGTCGGAAATGCATCCAGAGCGGGTAGCGTGATTCATTTAGTCCGGAAAAGTCATTTTTTCCTGTACAGGTCAGAATTATCCTGCAGCCCACGTTCCATTCGCCGGCTCGGTGCGGAATAGTCTTAGCTTATCATAAAATCATGATGTTTTTCAGGTGTTTGATCCACGGAGACAACTTCCCCAAAATAACGCCCGAGATGGCTCCGGAAATGATGCGGATCAACATAGATCCGAAGAGAGCGTTGTGTCGACAGACTGAGTATTGACTAGAGCAATTTTGCAACCATGACTTTTGAATGCTAATGAGAATCGAGTGAGACAAGTGTAATTTTCGTACTCCACACAAGATCGTAACTATGCTTTCCTAGTTTATGTATGTTTGTTCAGGTTATCGCCGATAACTTATCGATAGTCCTATTCGTCAATTTTGTTGCTCTCTCGCTCACCAGTTGGACATACTGAGCATGTGTGACTTTATTATGAATACTCCTGAACCCATGATATGTCTGTTTCTAATCTGTTAAACTACGGTTTTGTTACTTTGCAGTGAAGTAAGTTTTCCATTCAATGGTCGTTTTTTTGCAATGCCTGCCGAGCGTATTGGAACAACTGGTGACTAGCAAAAGGGAGCAGTTCGCACGGTTGAGACGGACGTGTAAAGTTTACACTGTAAACTGCTCACAATATGTAATCGAGGAACGAGATTCAAACTTTGCTTTTTATCCCACGTTCAGTGATCATTATTGAAAACCCGATTCAGCAATATGATCTATTTTTCATCATCCTCTGACATCTGCAAGGATTCGAATTGCCTTGTGCACTAATTAGTGGAGTGTACTTTTTTACCGTAGTTGTTAGGTGATGGTGCGAAGGAGCGAGGTCGTTTTCCGAAGAGTAGTTGACTAATGAGTTTCCGAGTTGGTGTTGGAAATATTTGGCTACTGAGATCATTAATTGATGGAAAGGAAGAATAGAGTAGAATGCTGACGGTTAAATTATTCTAACACATTGCATCAGGTTTTGGTCGTACTCAGATTTCATTCATCCGGTTGGAGAGTTTCTTTCGCTATCTTTCGTAAGTTACCAACTCCCCGTTTGCCCCGGTGGAAGCCGATAGTGGAACAATAGGAACATTGTTCCTGCCTCAGGATTCGGATATTATATGGATCGTCACGGTGTCATCAACAAAGCTGAGGAACACACGAATGGTAGATTTGGGTAATCAAAGGTGATATAGTGGATAAAACGTTGGAGAGAGGGTTTAGGATTATCTCGATCAGAGATATGGTCCGTGATTTATTCGCACACACTGTTCCCACGTAGAGTTGAGCGTCGAATTCTTTCATTATAGCAATGCGTAGTGCGATAAAGACGTTGCAACGGAGTTGTCAAATAGTGAATAGGACGACTTGTTCGCAGCGTTAGTAATGTTTATTATATTGCACCCAATATAGATTATCAGTTTAGTGGTTCAGTTCATTTTCGATGTTAAACCGCGTTAGTTAGTCATGTAAATACTGATTACTAATCGTCTGCTTCTTCCAGAGCAGAATACGTAGATAGGCATCATTGAACGAATTGATCAGTAGAATATTCACATACTCGTGACCAGTACATTTTCCCGGTCGGTCTCAGAGTGCAATCATATATAACAAGTCTGTGATAGTCGAGTGGTTAGTGCGTTAATATGTCATGCAGGCGATCCACGTTCGAATCTTAAATTCGTATTTTTAACATAATTATATTCACTCTGTAAATCCACGGCAATTACTAATCAAGTAGAGTACGAATTTGTGTAGTGGTAAGCGCCCAAATTCTCTTCAAGCAGGTCGGAGGTTCGAATCCCACCGGGTTCGTGGGGGTCCGCGCTTTAGGAGGATTCACGGACCTCCTCACACCGGGGACCCAAGAATCTAGTGGAGACCGCCCAGCTATCGATCCCGTGATCGATAGCAAAGCGTCAGTATACAACAGTAAACAGCGAGTCAGTAGCAATGTCGGCCCACCATCGTCAGGATATAGGAGTGACGAGTGGGCCGACGACTCTTTGTGACCCTGACTACTCAGCACAGGAGCCATTCAACTTTCCAGTTTAGTTCACCGCCGGTGAACCATCGGCCAGTGTTTACAGTATTTCATATAAATGTCCCTTATTTACGCCATTCTCTCCCGAAAGGGAGTCCTCTACGGGCTAGGTGGAGGAAACCATTTTTCGCTTTTTTTGTTTAGCGCGAGGGCAGGGCCCCTCTGCGCGTTATGAGAGCCAATTTATACACATCGAAGATGGTCTCGATCTTGGTCTATTTCGCGATCTACCCATAATATCGAACCGGGACTAGTACCAAACGAATCCTTATCGAATTTTAGGAACAATGGCATCAGCCGTTTTCTGGTTTATAGCTTGTGGTAGGAGCTATAATCGATTTAAGTTTCTCCGTTAGGATGTCCGCTCGAAAATCGTCACTTGCAATCTTAAGGTGGAATTGGTGTAGTGGTATGCGCCGCGGCTGACGACCGGAAGGTCCCCGGATCGAATCTTGGGTAAGATAAAATAAACTTTTTATATTATTTAAATATATCACTATTTTAATTCTTCTTAGATCTATTTCGTGGCGCGTGAGAAGTATATGCAACTTTCTATACCGCTATTCCCGATGTAATGATATGAGATGTCGGTTCAAAGCTCATGGCTCGGCTGTGTAGGGGGCCCCACACAGTGGGGTCTGCACAGCCGAGCCGGCCGTAGGCCAGACTCCTCACGTAACCATCCCCCTCAAAGCTGCGCAGCACTCAAGTACGGCAGAGGCCGTACAGCCTAAAGGTCGAGCGGTCAGCCTCACACCCGTGAGGCATGGGTTCGATACCGGTCGACCCCCCAAAAAGGGGGAATGCTAGCGCAGCGCACATGCGGACACCGCTAGATGCTCTAGTGAGCCGATCTGCCCTAGTGCTAGTTGATGGTTTAACAATCGTCTGCACTGATAACAACATCCACTCCTTCAGCTGGCGTGAATGATTCCTTGTTACAGAACTTGCATTTACGAGTTGCGAATAGGATTATGGAATTGTCATTGATGGAACACGTCGTATAGAACCCCGTCGGACATGTTGGTAGTAAATGTACCATATGCAGCGATGGAGCCATGACAATTCGTTACTTGCTCGAGCACTCAAGAATACGGGATACATCACTTCACGAACTCAATATCGACGCACGCAAGACTTATGGATTCAGCGCGGATAACCGTTCATATGCCGTCAAAACTACTCTCACTAATCTCCGACCATATCCACTAACATGTTATCAGGAAAATAATGGTATTGTGACGAAAGACGGCCATCATGATAAAGCCGTCAGACGATTTGCTGACACGTCGTCCCGTCTCGCAGTGAGGGAACTCGAAGTGAGGGTAAAAGTTAATACCAGTACCTGTCAATAACGAAATCGCATTGACCCACGGAGTACACTCGAAACAGACCGAAAGCTCACCTCGATCGAGTTCCTTCCTCAACATCGTTCTTGCACATTAAAAAGCCCGTATACCACATAAGGGAAGGTATCAGGAAATCGGACCACTTGGTGAAACGCCAGAAGTATCTTGAAGCGAAGTCGCTACCACCACAAACTCAGCCACGACCAGACCTACCGGGTAGGCAGATTCCACCACCACTGGAAGAAGATTTTCTGTTGCATCGGAGAAACGCCTTGCTGGATCTGTCCACCTGGCACCTGATGATGGTCATCGGGGTAATCGCAAGAATGTGCTGCTGCTCATCATCATGAGCCTACCTGGAAGCGTCCTCGCCAGAAGTTCTTCGACTCAGGGGGAACAGGATAACTGCCGAGCCGTCTGATATCACGCTTAGTGTTCGGGCGCATAGGGCCCACTGCACGGGCACTAGCACGCACTAGGTTCACCATTGATGCCTCTAACAGAAAGTTACCCTAAGGCAATCAATCAAGTTTAGCTACCAATACCGGTGACTTGCATGAAAGCTGAAAACTAAGTCCATACGCGAATCGAACCTCAGGACATACCACGAGTAGTGAATCCCAGGAGTGAGCAATAGGTACACAGAACGGTTTAGCACCACTCTAGGTACGACAACGGTGAGGAGATTAGTTGAGATAGAGCTGTACGATAGTCCCGTACTAAATAGAATATGAGTGCACGAAGGAAGAATCGCAACTCTCGCGAATATACATCACGTACCACATCGACAAATCTTGAAATAGTCCGGCAATTTCAGACTCGCGCGCGCCATGCTGATCGATTTCCAACGTACAAGATTAGACGATGTACAAGCTGACCATGCGAAAAAGTGGTGTCTCTTAACATGCCCGACATAGCATAATATAAACCTCTATGGGAAGGGCTTGGGAATTTATGGAGTAGCTCCCGGTAGCTTCGAGAGAGTCATAGACGGCTGTCGATGAAGAGCACCGAAATACTCGTCGGGTATTTGATGTCGGGAGTGTCGTCATTTTGAACTATAATTCTGTGATTACTTGGAAGATATCCGACGGGTATTTTTTCCATCCATGGCCAAACAGACGAGGAACAGAGGTCTAGGAGGCGCCAAATCGAGAGCGCAAGGGAAGGCGTTCAATCCTGGCAATGCCAGTACCAATCCGGACAGGTAATAACCGAGAAAGGGGGAGGGTCTGCTGGGCCAACTATGGGACTCAGGAAAACCGCAAGCAACTCGCCGGGGTTCATGCGATCGAAGAACACTATCAAACGTCTTAATATGTATAATCAGAAGCTGAAGAAGGCTGATTTGAACAAGGTGCGGTACTGGGAGAGTCTTTTGCCATACCGTAACTTCTTCTACCCTCAGCGGAAAATCCAACCTACTGGTCCAGCCCGAATCGCACCTGACCGTCGGTGGTTCGGCAACACGCGTGTCTTAAGTCAACAGAAGCTACAAAAGTTTCGAGAGGAGATTGGCCAGAGTGTCAACGACCCTTTCCAGGTATTAACATGCACCCTTGCTGCCTCGCTACGCGGTTTCGCTCACAGTGTCTGTCCTCTGACTTTTATCCACTCATCTATGTGTCGTTTGTGTGTCTGTTGGCCTTCTTCGTTGATCACAAGCAGTCGTATGTCGCATAGCCTGTGGTGCGATAGACTCTCTGTATAAGGTGGTATTGAAGTCTTCCAAGCTGCCGATGTCCTTATTGACAGAGGGCCAGAACGAGAGCGATCAACCTCGAGGGAAGGTGGCCAGGAAGAACCTTCTCGCTGTTGAACCGTAATGATAATC